TCTGTGTCTGTGTCTGTGTCTGTGTCTGTGTCTGTGTCTGTGTGTGTATCAGTTTTTTGAGACTCTGGCTGGCCTGGAACTGGCTACGTAGATCAGTCTGGCCTGGTCTCACAGATATCCACCTATCCACCTGCCTCTGCCCCTCAAGTATTAGAATTAAAGACATGTGTCACCATACTCAGAGAAGCCCAATTAAAAATAAAAAAACATCTGGCTGGATGGGCTGGAGAGATGGCTCAGAGATTAAGAGCACTGGCTGCTCTTCCAGGGGTCCTGAGTTCAATTCCCAACACCCACATATTGGCTCACAACTGTCTGTAATTGGGTTAACACACTCTTCTGATTTGCAGACAGGCATGCAGACAAAGCACCCATGTACATTAAATAGGAAGTTTTTTTTTTTTTTTTTTTTTTTAATATGGCTGGAGATCTGGCTCAGCAGTTAAAAAGCACTGACTGGGGACCCAGATTTGACTCCAGAACCCACATGGCAGCTCACAACTATCTTAACTCCAGTTCCAGGGGGTCTGATGACCTTTCTGACCTCCCTGGGCACCAGGCATGCATGTGGTATACAGCTGGGCATGCAAGCAAAACACCCATACACACAAAATAAAAAATAACTTAAAAAAAACACTTTATACACCTCATTTAAAATACTTTTAAAAGATCTGCAAACTCTCTTCACCACTGAACCATTTCTCTAGTTTTCTATTAATTAAATGACAAGCAAGTTGGGCTGGAGAGACAACTCAGTGGTTGAGAGCACTAGATGCTCTTCCAGAGGACATGAGTTTGATTTCCAGAACCTACATGGCAGCTCACTAGCGTCTGTTAACTGCAGCTCCAGAGGATGAAACACCCTCTTCTAGCTTTCTTGGCATTGTAAATGTGGTACAGTCATGCATGTAGGTAAAACATCCACACACATAAAAATCTTAAAATATTTATAAAAAAATTATCTGGGCAGTGGTGGCACACACCTTTAATCCCAGCACTCGGGAGGCAGAGACAGTCAGATCTCTGAGTTCACGGCCAGCCTGGTCTACAAGAGCTAGTTCCAGGACAGCCTCCAAAGCCACAGAGAAACCCTGCCTCAAAAAAAAAACCCAAAATATATATTTAAAAAAAATAACAAGCAAGTATTGATGCCTGTGTATATGTATCTTAGCAAGTGAATGTTTGACATCCCAAGGAAAGGGTCTTGTCCACATATTTTCCCAGTCAAGCTATATGTCAGATCTGATGTATAAAGGTTCTAATCAAAGGCTTAGTAGTTGTAAGCTGAAGCCCATAGACAGTGTCTGGCATAGTAGTCTCCCCGTGGACCCTCTATCTTGGAAGGAGCACAAAATTCTGGTTCCCCAAGTCTAGAGAATACAGCTCTTGGCATATACTCTGGTACCCTAATTGACCTGGATTCTGTTCCCGATATTGGCTGTACCCAATGTTCAAACTGCTAGGCCAAATTCCAGTCTACTTGGGACTCTAGCCTGGGCCTGGCAACTATCAAAAGGGGGCTGGAACCGTGGTTTAGTGCTAGAGCAGTTGCCCCCTATGCTTGATGCCCTAGCTTCAATACCCGGTACTGCCAAAATAAACAATGTAAAATAAAAAGGAGCTGGAGAGATGGCTCAGTGGTTAAAAGCACTATTGCTTTTCCAGAGGACCCAGGTTCGACTACCAGCACCAAAACAGTGCCTCACAAACATCTGTATCCAGGATATATGATGTCCCCTTGTGACCACTGTGGCACCAGGCATGCATGTGATATACAGACATACATGCAGACAAAACACCTATACTTATAAAACCTCTCTCTAAAAAAAAAAAACAAAAAAAAAAAAGTAGTGACTATAATGCTAGGAATATGCCCTGATGTTTTACATCCAAAGTACCATTCCTATGGATATCCATGTATGTACATGATATCTGTGTACAAATACACACAGTGTATATGAGTTCACACCCATGAGACTACAGCTTCCCTGCCCATCTAATCCAATCTAACTCTTCCCCCCTCATTTCCAAGCATGAGCATCTGCCTAATTTTATGGGCATTAGGACTGGAGGTCAAGAGGCCAGTCTTGTGTTTGTGTCTAGGCCTTGGGCTTGCATTTACCATGCCCTGAGGACTCTGAACTGGCTTGAGGCCTCAACTTTAAAGGGCTGAGATGTGTCAGACTGGGTGTGTTCCTCATGGGACCCTGAATGTGCACAGCAGGTATGAGCCAGTCTGTGATGACAACAGGCTGGTCACTCCCCACCTCTTTCTCCCCGAACCTTTGCTCTAAGATAGAGAATGAGGAAGATAGAGGAAGCATAGATAATAGATTCTTTTTTATCTTGTTGGCAGTGTGGGGGATAGAATCCAGGGCCTCATGCATACTC